CCCTACACATAATCAACCGTCGAGCCCAATTCTAGTTGTAAAGGTCATTTTGTATTTTAAAACTATTTTCTTCTTTTTTCGATGTTTTAAGCAAAACATCGATGGCGACTCCATGAACTCTTTTCAAAACCATTATTTGGATATTAGTCTGGTGTTCGGACATTCCTTAATTAATGAAATTTTTAAAATGGAAGTTTAAATCATCTATGGACAAGATCAAATTTTTGGGGTTCTGACATTCTTAAAGTTGGATTCTTGGTTAAGTTATGTAAAGAATTGATAACTTAGTCAAGAAAATTATACTTTAACTTGTAAGAAAATAAGGTTTGAGTATATTTGTGAGTTGAATGCTAATTTCAAAATTTATAATCGAATTTAAGTTTGTTTGTAAACATGAGAAGATGGTTTGGTGAAGTTAAACCTCAACATATTTTATTATTATGTTAAAATCAGTTTTTGCATTCCAAGTGTTCGTAAAATACTAAAAAAATATTTCTTATAACATTTATCTTTGTTTAAGCACTTTTATATTTCTTCAATTAATCAAAATTTTCATTCCTAACAGTTTAGTTTAGTATAATTAGTTATTTGTATCAAGTGTTGTTTAAGTCTATTGGGAGACCATACTCATATATACTCATCAATAATCTAATTGTACAAATTGGTACAATTACCAAATAGATAATAAAAAATAAAAAATAAAAAAAAATAAAAAGTTTCTAGTGTCGTTGTCAAGAACTTGCGTCTCAATACTTAGGCAAATTCACTTTGATTACTAATCTAACTCACAAAAGAATTGGGTGGTGAAAGACTAGAGACTCAAACTTTATCTAGGAAGTGAAGTTGAATAAATTCCCTCTCATTATGCAGTTTGTGACATCATCTACCCCGCATCATATATTCAACATAAAAAGGACATAATTTTCTTTAAAATAAAATAAATTCAAAAATACTTCAATTGAAATAAAACGTTCTATTCTGAATCATGAGTAGAGAGTTCACATTATAGAAATACTTTCATAGAACATAAAATTACTTAAACATAAATCCTTAGGTAAAAATAAATAACATAATCCATTCCATCAAAACACAAGAAACGAAAATTCCCTAATGTTAAACCTTGGTGTCACATAGTCTAATCAGAGCTTCCCGACTAGACTTCCCCATCAAAACCTTCGACATCATGTTGAGGCTCACCTGCACATCACAATAAAATAGGAAACACAGATAGCAAAAGGAGTGAGAAATATCTCAATTAGGCTCGATGTGCATAAACAAATGTTAAATAGCCCACACACTATACATGCAACATACATTGCATATCAAAAGCAATCATAATCACCCACATGTATTGATTTCATGCATACTACTCACTACATGCATGTGGTGCCATACGAAATTTACATATTTCTTGTCACTAGTATGCTGATATAGCAACACACCTAGGGCACATGTAATCATAAATATATCACTGGTGGCCCAAAGACATATTTGAAATTCGCATGAGTACACTAGCATGTGGCCTCAATGACACACCTCGAATAATCCAGTACACCGGCATATGGCCTAAGCGGCACACCTGGAGGCATATATGCTTATGATTCATGTCACACATTTACTAGTCATGTACTCTTCACTTATGCTCTAACACATGCTTGCCACATTCACCGTAAAATCATAACCTTCATCATATTCCATACCAACACAAGACAACACATCACACATAGCATATTTAAACATGATACGTAGGTCGAGGCATCATAGAGAGTGAAGGAATTCATGAAAACTGCAAGTAAGGAAGATCATAGTCGTGGCTCTTATGAACATGATTTCACATTTTCATCATAAATCATTCATAATTATCCCCTCTCATACTTCTTATTTTTTAACTATTGATATAGGTATCGCAAGTCATTCCCAAGATTAAGTACTTAAAGGATTAGACAACCCACAAACTTTCTTTTTTTTCTTAATCTTCAATGACATTGTATGGTCTAAACATGGTATCTAGAGTTATGCATATTCTATCGAGCTGATCTTTATCTTATTGGAAATCTACGACAATTATCTACAATTCTTATATTCACCTCTACTTCTAATTTTATCAACTATGCATGTTATGCTTAAAATACAAAAATGTGATATTTTTGTCTAATGTTTACAGCTTGACCTTTGCTTACTAAAATGATCATGATTTGAGTTCTAAACCTCCTTTTTTAGTAATTTTAGCGACATTTGAAAGCTAACATCTAGGGATACAACTTTAATGAAGACCAAAAAAACTAATTCGATCATCTACTCGCTCAAGTGAGCTATTCATTTGCTTAAGTGAGATAGTCAATTTGCTTGAGCGAGCTCCTATCCAAGATTCTCTATCTAGGACACTTGAGCGAAGCATGACCATACAGATCATGATGTTTTTGATTTCTAAGTTTCTAACTTTTTCTCCACATCATTCCTTAATACTCCCAATATAAATCAAATTGGTAAAATCTCAATTTAAAGCCTATTACTATACAATTAAGTTATCAATTACTCCAACAAACATTCATATGCCAAAACATCATCAAACTTTTTAGTTCACTTTACTCTATACTTTAGGATTCCTACAGGAATTACAAACACTCACAAATTCATGATTAAAGCAAATTACACAAAATTGTTTACACATGTATTTCAAACATCACATATCACGCACATAAGAACAGTACGAAACACAAATTCATAATTTATAAATCAAAATTAGGATTTATCCCTCATAGCATATACGAACAAACAAAAGATTAGGATCAATCTCTCTACCCAGCAAATAATTCACACCTAGAGCGAGACTATATTCACTTTTTATTTACCTCAATAGATGCTAGACGAAAGACATGTAAGATAATTATGTCTCATGTGAGAAACATATGATGTATAAAAGGACTAATAAACAAAGAAATAAATAATTAAGGATTAAATCATAAATGGGCTTAATAGATAAATTTTGAGAATAATTGTTATTTGATGGGAATAACAATCTTTAAGGGTTATAAATATCCACTAATGTAAAATAAGGTTCACATCCTTAACAGAAAGTATTCTCTCAAATCCTAGTCATCATAGAAGATAGAGAGAGTAGAAAGAAAAGTCAAAAGGAGTGAAATCTTGGTTCTCTTCTCAAGAAGATCAAAGTACTCTAAGGATTAAAGGAGATTTCCATTATGGAGAAATGTGCATATTATTTCTTATTATTATATGAGTATCATGAATTTCAAAGATCATTTTTAATTTTCTATAACTGATCTATTAAAAAATCATAGAACTTACATGACAGGGATCTTCGAAATGCAATCTTCGAAATGCACTCTAACAACCTCTACATTCTAGGAAGCTCTTAAGTTAGAAAGAGAAGAGAAAGTGTGAGTTGAGAGAAGCATAAAACTAGCTTGTTTCCCCCAAAACCTTCCTTTTTAAAACTTCTTTCCCTCATTTTTATTAATTAAAATATTCTTTTCTCCATCATAAAATATAATTAAAATACACAATTCTCAAAAATAACTCATATAATAATATTATACTTTCTCAAAAAAAATTAACTAAAAGTATCTATAATTATGTTTTTTTTTAAAAACCTATATTAATTTAAAATTAAATTAATCGATAAAAACATCTTTTATTAATTTTTGAAAATTTGGAAGTGTTACATTATATAAAAAAAACTATGTAAATAAGTTTTCAAATTAAACATACATTTAAATAGGTGCAGTCATGACATTAAGAAAAAAAATTATTTCACATAAAACAGACAGGTTAAACTTAGATTTGCCAAAGTCTAATGAGAGTGTTTTTAATATGAATTAATCCGTTAAACTTTGACCAACCCTACTAAATCAACCGATGAGACAATAAAAAGACCTAAACTATTTTTAATTAGGTCATATTTGACAAGACCCGCACTAATTGTACTACCCGTAAGGGAGAATGATACACCACCTAACTCTAAGTATAGGGCGTACGAGATTGGTCAATTATGTTAAAAAAAATATTGATTGAGTTCCCCAGTTTACTTTCGATGAAAAATAATCTATAAACACCCGTGTGTTATTTGACATTTAGAGGGAGAAAGAGAGAGCAGAAAGAAAAATATAAATAATAAATTAATGATATGATGTATCATGTATCTAATATTAATATATATATATAGTGATATACTTTATAATAATATAATATTTTTTATTAAAAATTATTTTTATATATGTTGTATTAAAAGAAAGGTAAGGGGGTGCATATAAAAATTGAAAAAAGGAAGGAAGATATGTGGAAAAAAAAAGTACTAAATTAAATATTTTGGATGTAAAATTAAAAAAATAAAAAATAAAATAAAATCCCTCATCGATCTCTCAAAACGCTATGGTCCTTTATACTCTCTCTACTTTGGTTCTATGCCAACCGTTGTTGCTTCAACCCCTGAGTTGTTCAAACTCTTCCTTCAAACCCACGAGGCTGTTTCTTTCAACACAAGGTTCCAAACCTCTGCCATTAGGCGTCTAACCTACGACAACTCCGTGGCCATGGTTCCCTTTGGACCATACTGGAAGTTCGTTAGAAAACTCATCATGAACGACCTCCTCAACGCCACCACCGTTAACAAGTTGAGGCCACTGAGGACTCAAGAGATTAGAAAGGTTTTGAGGGTGTTTGCTCAAAGTGCAAAGACCCAACAAACCCTTGACATCACCGAGGAGCTTCTGAAGTGGACCAACAACACCATCTCAATGTTGATGTTGGGTGAGGCCGAAGAGGTTAAAGACATGGCACGTGAGACCGTTAAGATTTTTGGAGAATACAGTCTTACTGACTTCATTTGGCCCTTGAAGAAGCTTAAGTTTGGACAGTATGAGAAGAGGATTGAAGAAATATTCAACAGGTTTGACCCAGTCATTGAAAAGGTTATCAAGAAGCGCCAAGAGATCGTGAGAAAGAGAAAGGAGAAGAAGGCAAAAAATGAAGAGAGTGAGGAGAGCGTGGTTTTCCTCGATACTCTGCTTGAATTCGCTGAGGACGAGACCATGGAGATCAAAATTACTAAGGAGCAAATCAAGGGTCTTGTTGTCGTAAGTTTCCTACTCCTTTTCTTTTTTTTCTTGGAAGCCTTTGTGATATTAACTACATACTATGGTTAAGATCAATAGTGGTCACTTAGTTAGAGCATGTTTAGACTGATACAATATTGAAAGTTTATCTACTAAAAATAAAGAGTATTATTCAAACAGACTCAAAATTTCTTTTATCTCCATAGTGACTTAACTAATGAATACACTCTTGTTGTATGTAGGATTTCTTCTCTGCGGGGACAGATTCCACAGCTGTGGCAACAGATTGGGCTCTGGCAGAGCTTATCAACAACCCTAGAGTGTTGCAAAAGGCCCGAGAGGAGGTGGAGAGTGTTGTGGGAAAAGATAGACTTGTTGA